GGAAAAAAGCTACATAAAAGTTCTGCCAAACCTGCGTCCATTGGAAAGGTTGGCTGATTGGGCCCCAGTCCCACATCTGTCATTGGGTACATCTTCCAAAAGGGAAAGACCTTAAGTTGGTTCCCAGCACCCACATTCTCAACAATGGTTCTTCATCACCACGCAGCTTCCAACTTGCTTCACTTTGCCAGATATACTTAGCTCAACTTAAGCAATGACATCACCCAAGAAAAGATTCCAGTGTTGGCTAGTTTGGGATCATACCTTCCCAGTGCTCAGAAGCCACATCTGTCTTGGTGTTCAGGGGATCATGGAGGATCAGGGATCAACCCTGAAACCCTGGAATTCAAAGCCTGGGCTCCAGGTGCTGGAGAGATGATATAGTGGGAAAGGTACTTACCTCACATGTGGCCAACCTGGGTACGATCCCCAGCATCCCATATGTCCCCTGAGCCCACCATGAGTGATACCTGAGTGCAGAGTCAAGAGGAATCCCTGAACATCACCGGGTATGGCCCCAAAACAAAAAAGCCTGGGCTCCAGCCCCTTGAACTATTTCCCTGACACCAAACTCCATGCCATGCACTCATCACACATTATCTTTCAGGAACTACCATGAGACTTGCTGACTGAAGTAGTTTGAGGTCAACTTTGCTTGGGGGATCTCTCACATCTGAGTTCATTTACAAGAGATCCTGGAGGTTGTTGCCTTAGCTAAAGGTTGATGGACACAGGGAACTTGAAGGTGTGAGCTAATGCCACCAAGGAGTGAGCCTCGTCTCTTGCGTGGCTTTGGGGTCACCTTCAAAGACATGAACCTCCTGCACTGCATGGTGCAGTGCTCTCTCCTTGCCTCATCTGTGCAGGCAGGATTCCCATAAAATGCCTCAAGGGTTGGGGGCAAAGATATAGTATAGCAGGTACAATATTTGCCTTGCATACAGCCAGCCCAGATTCAATCCTCAATATCCCAGAGGGTCCCCCCAAACCCTGAAAATGGAGCCGAGTAATTCCTGAGCACTGCCAGGTTTGGGTTAACCTCTGAACACCCCTCCCCCCTCCAAAAGCCTCAGTGCTCTTAGGAACCATGCTCTTGATGGCCATTCCTGCCACCACTTAGACATACCAAAGGGGGACTGTCCAGAGTGGTCACCCAAGCCTCACCTTGGGCAGAGAGCTTGGGGTGGGGCTTCTGGTCATGTTACAGAGGAGTTGTTGTGACACTGACTGCCACTGGTAGGAAAAAGAAAACTTTGTTTTGGTTTTGGGGCCACACCCAGCAGTGCTCAGGGATTACTCTTATCTCTGCACTCAGGAATTACTTCTGGCAGTGCTTGGGGACCATATGGGATTGAACCCAGGTCAACTGTGTGCAAGGCAAACATCCTCCCTGCCATCCTATTTCTCTATTTCTCACCCCCACCAAAGAAAACAAATACTTGGGACTGGAGCAATAATACAGTGGGAGGGTTCTTGCCCTGAATGCAGCTGACCTGGGCTCAACCCCCAGCACCCATAGGTCCCCCAAGATTGCAAGGAGTGATCACTGAGCATCCCCAGTGTACATCCACAAAAGAAAACAAATTGGGACCTTAAATGAAACATAGTTTTTTTTTTTTGGCCACTCCCAGCAGTACTCAAGAGCAACTCCTAGCCCAGTGCTCAAGGAGCAATGCAGTGCCGGGGACCAAGTCTGGTCTCTTGCATACAAAAGCATATGTACTCCCACTCCGGGTTATAGCCTGGCCACAAACACAGTTCTTATGTCTGGGACCAAAACAAACTCATGGATGACAAGTGAAATGCATCGAAAATTTAAGCTTCTGCAATACAAAAGTACTGTTAGTGAAATAAAAACACAAACCAATCACACAGCAGGAATGAAAGATATACAAAACATGGAACTGACAAACACACGTATCCACAACAAATAAACTAAAAACCAAGCATGACCAACCAGTCCACCCAAGAAAATGGTGTATGCAAACAGTCATATATAAAAATGCTCCATGACCCATGGAAGAAATGCAAATTGAAACAAAGATACCACTATAACTTTTCTGAAGTGTCAAAAATGGGAAGAAAAATAAATGTGCAATGATAATGGGAATGCAAAACAGAGTATCCTTTTGGGGGGGGGGACTTTTGGGGTCACACCCAGAGATGCTCAGGGGTTATTCCTGGCTCTGCGTTCAGGAATTATTCCTGGTGGTGCTCAGGGGACCACATGGGATGCCGGGAATAGAACCCGGTCAGCCACATGCAAGGCAAAAGCCCTTCCCACTCTACTATTGCTCCGGCCCAGGATACCGATTTTAGAAGCTGGTCAGATTTGCATAGTCTTTTCATATAACCTAACAATCCCATTCCTATGTATTCATAAGACAATTAATCCTTACACTGACACATACCCCATATGCCAATGTTTTACAGCTGCTTTTTTCTCTTGGGGGGGGGGGGTGGATTTTGGAGTCACACCTGTATCTACTTGGGCTTTCTCCTCTCTCGGCATTCAGGGATCATTTCCAGTGGATCTCAGGGGAACCTATGGGGTGCCAGGGATAGAATCTGGGTCTACTGTGTGCAATGCTTGTGTGGAAGCACCCTACCCGCAGTACTGTTGCTCTGGCCCCTAGCTGCTTTCTTTATGATCACTTAAAGCTGGAAACTCAAATTGTGCTCAGAATAGGTAAGGGGGAAATGCTACAGAGTAAAACACAGCAATAAAAAGAACAACTACCAACATACATATCAATAGATGAACCCAGGAGTCAGTGAAAGAAGCTAGGTGCTATGGTGGATAATGTGGGATTCTGGAAAAAAAACTACACAGAAAGGAAACAGGTTTAAGACCGCCAAGGATGCTGGGGTGGCTAGGATGTGAGGAGGCTGACTTTGAAAGTGTAACAAAGAAATGTGGGTAGATCTGGGTAGAATATGATTGTTTACAGAGGTAGCAATGACAGTATTTGCCAAAACGAAAGCCTGAGGGGCCAGGGATGACACTCAAAAGGTGGGGCCCTGAATGTAAGAGGCCCCAAGTTGGATCTCCACACTACATGCCCCAAGTGTAGTCCCGAAGGCACTCAAGCTGGGCTGCAGGTACCCCTGATTAAATACCTAAACCAGAACAGAAAATGATACTTTAGGGGCTGGAGCAATAGCACAGCAGGTAGGGCGTTTTCCTTGCATGCAGCCAATCCAGGTTCGATTCCCAGCATCCCATATGGTCCCCTGAGCATCGCCAGGAGTAATTCCTGAGTGCAGAGCCAGGTGTAACCCCTGAGCATCGTCTGGTGTGACCTAAAAAGCAAAAAAAAAAAAAAAGAAAATGATACTTTAATGAAGAAAATTATACTTAAGTGTCAGACCTGAGCAGGGCACTTACCTGGGTTTAATCCCAGGTACTCAATACCCTGAGCACTGCAGGAGTAATCCCTGAGTGCAGAGCAAGCCATGAGCACTGCCAGGTGTAATATTCACCCTTCCCCCTTTAGCAAAAAAAAAAAGCTGATGTCACTGCATATAAATTATTCCTTTAAAAAAGCTTTGAAGATTTCCTATAGATGCCTTTTATCAAATTTTGGGGGAGTTGGAGTCTTGGATCACACCCAAAGGTGCTCAGGATTTATTCTTGGCTATGTTCAAGGATCACTCCTGGTAGTGTTCAGGGAACCATCTGTGATGCTGGGGATCGAACCTGTATCAGTTGCATGCAAGGCCATAGGCTCTGTACTATCTCTCTGGCCCCTGAAGAATTTTTGTTTTCGAGCCACACATGGCAGTGTTCAGGGATCACTCCTGGAAGATTTGGACACCATATGGGATGCTAGGGTTAAAACCTGGGTCAGTCATGTGCAAGGTAAGTGCCCCACCCGCTGTACTATCACTTCAGCCACTGAAAAAAAAATTTTTTAAATGTAGATATGACTTTTGTCAAGCACTTTCTCTGAATTTGCAGAGATGATTATCTGTATGAGTCTGAAAGTTAGACATGATCATATGTCAAATCACAGGGAAAGAGTGAGTTCATGTGCAGCTCAAGAACAGACAACCAGGCTGGAGCAATAATACAGTGGGTAGAGCGTTTGCCTTGCATGTGGCCAACCCAGGTTCAATCTCCGGCATCCCATATGGTCTCCCAAGCACTGCCAGGAGTAACCCCTGAGCATTTCTGGGTGTGATCCAGAAAGAAAAAAAAAAGAAGAAGAACAGACAACCACTCTGCTGTCCAGGAATCAGGCTTGTTGCCACTCAGGTGGGGACTGACAGGAAATATGTATAAAGAAACCATCTGGTTTAACAGAAACTTTGTGTACACTGACCTGGGGGTGGGGGGGGAGGGTGACAGCAAGTGCAAACACTTGTCAAAATTCATGACACTGTAAACAAACAGGAGATTTATGCATGCTCCTGATGCCTCACAGGGCACCGCCAGTGTCAAAAGTGCAGATTACAGCCAGGTGACATGCTCTCTGGACCCTTTAGAGAGCTGCCCTCTGCAGTGGGAGAAACTCTAGTTCACAGGAGCTGCAGGGTTGGGGGAAAGGAATTTGTGTCTAATTCACACATCTTCCAAGTCCTGCAGAACTCCTTCTGGAAGCACAATGGCAGAAGATGGCCTGCCCTTTTACTCAACAATACCTTGAACAGTAACAAGACACTGGGTCCTGGAAAGGCAGGGAAGTCAAAACTGTCCCCACTCGCTTTGCTGCATATGTTCTTGCGGAGGATATTATGGGTTTTGCTCTCCGTAGTCTGAGTTCTCTGCAGGGCGGTCTCCTCCGTCTTAAGTCTCTCTTGTCACGTACCTGCTCAGGGTTATGTTTCTGAACCAAGTCCTGCTGTCTCCACTTGCAGAAGACTTCGCTGCTATGTGGTCCCTACAGCCCACTCTGGCTGAAGCCCTCTCTGATCAAGCCAGCACTCTGCCATGTGTTTGATGAAGAAAACAACGAAGAGGAAGGCAGTCCTGATGATTGGACGCTTCTGACCTCTAGTTGAGGAATGGAAAGCATCTCACTGCGCTTCCCGCCGAGAGGCATTCTCTGAGGGGGCTGCGACTCTGCTGCCCTCGTCATCGGCATGGACGCGCTGATGGATGATGAGGCTCGAGCTCCAACTGAAGCCCTTGCCGCACTCAGCGCACTTGTAGGGCTTCTCCCCCGTGTGGACGCGCTGATGGGCCTGCAGGTACGAGCTCCAACTGAAGCCCTTGCCGCACTCCTCGCACTTATACGGCTTCTCCCCTGTGTGGACCCTCTGGTGCGCCTGCAGGTAGGACCTCTGCCTGAAGCGCTTGCTGCACACCTCACAGCGGTAGGGTTTCTCGCCTGTGTGCACGCCGCGGTGGGCCAGGAAATTGGAGGCTCGGCAGAAGCCCTTCCCGCACTCCTCGCACTGGTACGGCTTCTCGCCTGTGTGGCACCGCTGGTGGGCTTGGAGCTGTGAGCCCACGCTGAAGCCCTTGCCGCACTCGGCGCACTGGTACGGCTTCTCACCCGTGTGGACCCGCTGGTGCACCTGGAGGCTGGAGAACTGGCTGAAGGCCTTCCCGCACTTCTCACACCGGTAGGGCTTCTCCCCGGTGTGGATCCGGCAGTGGACGTTCAGATCCGAGCTCCGGCTGAAGCCCTTCCCACACGTGCCGCACTTGTAGGGCTTCTCGCCTGTGTGGCCCCGCTGGTGGGCCAGCAGGTTGGACGCCTGGCTGAAGCCCTTCCCGCACTCCTGGCACTTGTAGGGCTTTTCACCCGTGTGCACGCGGCAGTGGATGTGGAAATCCGAGCTCCGGCTGAAGCCCTTCCCGCACGCGTCGCACTGATAGGGCTTCTCGCCCGTGTGGCCCCGCTGGTGGTCCAGGAGGTTGGAGGCCCGGCAGAAGCCCTTGCCGCACTCGGCGCACTTGTAAGGCTTCTCACCCGTGTGGCTTGTCTGGTGTGCCTGCAGGTGGGAGCCCACACTGAAGCCCCGGCCGCACTCCTCACACTTGTAGGGCTTCTCCCCAGTGTGGACGCGGCAGTGGATGTTGAGGTGGGAGCTGTAGCTGAAGCCCTTGCCGCACACCTGGCACTTGTAGGGCTTCTCACCTGTGTGGGTGCGCTGGTGTGCCTGCAGTCGCGAGAGCCAGCTGAAGCCCTTGCCGCACTCATCACAGTGGTACGGTTTGCTGCTGCCCCGGCGGGGCCGCAGGGGTGCACCCTGACCGAGCCCACACTCCTGACCCCCAGGGGGTTTCACAGGGCCGGGCGAGCTCCCCTCCACGTTCCTCCCACACTGTGCGGATCTGTGTGGGTGCTCTTCAGGAGAGATGCGCTGGCGAGGAGGTGGGCACCGCTGAGAGACGGCCTGGCACGACGTGTCGCCTCTGGGTGACTTCTCCCTGCTGTGGGTTCTGTGATGGGCTTGAAGACTTGACAGCCGACGGAAGGAGCTGGTGCATTTCTCACACATATAGGGCTTCTCGCCCACCAGGGGTAGCTGGTTCTCTTGGTGAGGCGCGCTGGGAATTGGACCGTCCTCCCCCATGAAGGGTCTCTCTGCACAGTGGACTCTGTGGTGCACCTGCAGATAGATATTCGGAAGGAAGCCTTTGCCATGTCCCCCATTTTCCGAAAGGGCACCACCCTGCTTTTCCAACCGAGAGGCGCCCATGTGAACATGTACTACAGATTCCTGACATTTGGCTAATTCCTTTGCAACCTGGAGCCAGATCTGTGAGCAGGAAAGTTCTCCACGGGGCAGGGACTTTGATGTCGCTTCCTGTAGAGCCTCCAGCTCTTTCAGATTCTTGTCTCCTGAAGGAACTAAGAGAATGAAGAGAAGGGATGTGAAGGTTTTGTCATAGGCTAAAACAAAGGCACACACCTCAGGCTTTACTTATCCAGAAGATTCCCGTTGACTACATCACCACATATTGCATCCTCTGATTTACCTGCCTCCAGGAGGCAAGAGGTGGTCTCCAGGCTCCATTCATTATGTATTAGTGAAACCCACTTAGAATCATACTATTTATTTTGGGGGGTGGAATGTGGGTAGGAGGCAGAGGATGGGCCACACCCAGTGATGTTCAGAGGCTATTTCTGGCTCTGGGCTCTGGGTGGGCTCTTTTCAAGATCTTGTGAGAATTTCTTTTTTCCCAATCAAGAGCAGATATTTTCTTAGGGAACTTGCCTACAAAGTGGCTCTCAGAGCCAGAGATAAGGCACAGAGATTAAAGGGATTGCCTTGTATCCTGCCAGAGTTCAAATCCCGGAGGACCACCAGGGGTCACCCCTGAGCACTGAGCCAGGAACAGCCCCTGAGCACTGCTGGGTGTATCCCAATCCCACCTCTCCCCTGTGCCAAGTAACAGTGAAAGTGCAACCAAGACAGCTGCAGTAATCTCCAGCCTGGTCCAGTCCAGACCTGGACTTGGACCAATAGTAGAGCTTGGGAGACTACTAGGGCACAGGATGCGTGCTGTCCCCCGGCTCTTACCCAAGCTGCTGATGCTGTGGGTGACTGTCCTCAGCACCCAGCGCTTTTCTTCTCTCCCCCACTGGGACAGCTCATCTGGTGTGAAGGACTGATGCCCTGAGGAAGGCAAGGACCAGCGACCCGTTAGAGGTCCAAAGGACTATGACGCTACCGCATAGTTCTCAATATAGTAGCTGCTGAACTTTCAAATATGCATTTTCCAAACAATACATTAGGGGGCATAAACCCAGACGGTATAGACTTAAGTATGAATTATAGTAAGGAAGGAAAAAAATGACTATTTTCATCATACCCTATGATGGGTGTGTGGTTTCACTCTGAGGCACAAAGGTGGGATTTTTAAGTTTTCTCTCTCACATTGTCCATGGTGACAGGCTATATAGCTTTTGCCATAAATGTAATTACTACCATACGTTCTTGAGCTGCTAACTGGAAATGATCTCAATTTGACAAAGGCCAAAAAGCACCATCAGGCTGCCAGTTTACAGCCCATTCACAAAACACACTCTGACCAGGCACAAAATCTGGATGGCTCAGGGGTAGAATGTCTGCCTTGCTAGTATAAGGTTTCAGGTTTGATCCCTGGCACCACCCACACACTGAGTGTCAATCTGGAGACAACCTGGGATCACAACCAATTGTGTGATCTCCAGAGTAGTCAATCAAGTGAGTGAAAGAATTGAGAGCAAAGTGTGTATGCATCACAGCAAATGAGGACAGCAACAAAATGCATGAAAGAACCCAGTCAAGAGTACCACTCAGGAGTTAAGAGAGCTAGGACACAGGTAGGGCCCTGGCCTTTTATGTGGCCAACCTGAGTTCAATCCCCATACAGTCCCCTAAATACCACCAGGAGTGATCTCCCTGAACACAGAGCCCCTCCCCCAAGAAAACAACAAAAAAGAATCTATAAAAGAAAAAAGAATTTAAGAGGTCATCTTTGTCTCAGAAGGACTAGAAAATTGGAAGTTGGTACAGGAGCTCCAAAGCTGGATTCATCCGAGGACCCAGGCCTTGGTGAAGTTCAGTCCCTCAGGGAATGTCCTTACCAAGGGATAGCAGGTTCCAGAAGTTCTCTAGCATCACATCCCAGTACAGTTTCCGCTGGGCGGGCTCCAGCAGCCCCAGTTCCTCCTCTGAGAAGACCACAGCTACATCCTGGAATGTCACCTCCTCCTGCAACCCCAAACAAAGAGTATCTCAATTTCCCAACAAAGGCCCCCTTGGAAGAAGGGAAATAACTGGGCAGAGTGGAAGGCTGTGCCAGACCAGAATCACTTCGAGAACAACATAAATATTCCAGACAGTAACAAATTAGGTTGCAGATTTTTTTTCCCCTTGCAGAATAAATGCAGAGGAGAACAACTGTTTCCCATGGATGCTGGTTCCCCATGGAATCGTTCTCTTAGGATCAGATCCAAGCAGGGGAGCCCCGCAGCATCCAGGACTCTGAAGCTTCAAAGCTGCTATGTAAGAGCAGGCTCTTTTCTCAGGGCTCCCCTCGTTGGTGCATCCCCAAGTAGGAACACACATGATCCACCAGACCAGTCAGTGAGGACAACTGTTCTTTTTTATTAGTTTTTTTTTTGTTTTTAGTTTTGTTTTAGCTTTTGGGCACACCCAGTGATGCTCAGGAATTACTCCTGGCACTACAGGAATTACACTCTGCACTCACAGAAATCACAGTTGGTAGCACTCAGGGAACCATATGCGATGCCAGGGATTGAACCCAGGTAAGTTTTGTGCAAGGCAAGCACCCTACCTGCTACACTATCACTACAGCCCATATTCAGTTTGTTGGGGGCCACACCCAGCAATGCTCAGGGTTTACTGTGGCTCTGCATTCAGGGATCACACCTGGCTGGATGCCAGGGAGATATTGGGGATCAAATCTGGGTCAGCCACATGCAAGCCAAGCGCCCTCCCTGCTATATTACCACACTAGCCCTAATTCCCAGAAATCTGTCAGTGAAAAACAACTGATTCTGGTTACGTGTACTTACTGGATCTTCCATTAGCTTATCACATTTCCATATATGGACTGTCTGCCTCTACTTTTTCTTTAGTGCCTGCTTATTAATGTCCTTCACTCATAATTCACTTGGGCCTTTAGCTTTTGGTTCTGTAAAATTTCTATTAAGAGCTTTCAATTTTTGAGCAAATATAAATATTTTTCCCCAGGTGTTTTTTTGTGTGTGTGTGTGTGTCTGGAGGTTCATGTGCTGGGGATCAAACCAGGGCTCCTCATAAACCCCTGATGCTTATACTATCTCCCAGGGCCCCCTATTACTCTTTTTTTCCCATACCTGTGCATTCCTGGAGGTGACTTGGGAACTCAGAGAGGTGCCTGGAATCAAACCCAGGTAAGCCATATACAAGGCAAGAGCCTTAACCTACTGTACTATCTCTCCGGCCCTGCCAGCTATTGATTTTTGGCACTGCTTATCAAGTTAGAAAAGGTGACTCCACTGAATGCAAAAGTAGAGCAGCACCTCGGCTTGGGTATGGTTGAAGGCTCAAGTCACATTGCTCAAGTCCTTCAAAGAGAAACAGGTCGCATCAAATCGAGAAGAGACAACACTTTTAAATTCAGAAAGACAAGTCTGGCTCACCTGGAATTTGGTCATTTTTCCCTCCTCCTCTGGAAAGGCTGAGTCTGAGGAAAGCACAAGGAGACAGGGAGAAAAGAGCCATCAGAATCTGGCCAACACTGTCACGAGCCCTGGCTGCTGGAAGCGACATAGCCCTCGTGCTCCTTTAGCACCGTGGAATGAGTGCAGCATTTATCAATTAGGGGACAGATCCTGCCTATCTATGGGAGAGCTGGAGGAATGAAACAGGAGGCAGGAAGCTTTGAGAACACTGTCCGGGAGCATCATCCCTGAGCAGCGGCGTAGGTGACATACAGCCTCACCGACAGTCCTTAGGAGTTGTCACCAAGAGCTGATACTCTCTGCTCTTGGTCTTTTTGTGTTTTGGGGCCAGAAGCAGAGGTGATCAGGGCCTCCTCCTGGTTCTATACTCAGGGATAACTCCTAGCAATGCTCAGGGAACCATATATGGTGCTAAGGCTCAAACCTGGGTTAGCCACAAGCAAGGTAAGTGTCTTACCCTGGTCAGCCACGTGCAAGGCAAGAGTGCAAGGCAGGTGACTTACCTGCTATACTTGCTTTCTGGCCCCTTGTCCTGTATTTTCACATCTGACAGTGCTCAGGAGTGATCCCTACGGGTGCTTGGGGGACCATTATGTCATGGTGGGGAATCAAATTTGGGAGACCATTATGTCATGGTGAGGAATCAAATCAGGGTAAGCCGCATGCAAAATTGCACAAACCTGGGCAGAAGCTATGGGATGACTCAAGGAATTCTGACTCAAGTCATCAAAACCTCAAGCCTTATTGTAGGTGGGGACCTACAACAAGATAAAAATAAGGACTGTCCTAGGATTACTGTGAAGAATAAATGAGACACTAAGGGGCTGGAGAGATAATACAGCGGGAAGGGTGTTTGCTTTCACACAGATAACCCAAGTTCTAACCCCGGCATCCCATATGGTCCCCCAAGTCTACCAGGAATGATTCCCGAGTGCAGAGACAGGAGTAACCCCCAACATCACTGGTCATGAACCAAATACTGGGGAAAATAAATAATAAATAAGTCATTTTGGCAACGCCCTGACACTTGAGGAAGCTCTCAATAAATGTAGATTAGAACTGTTTGCCCCCCTATTACAAAGGAGGAAACTGAGGCTTGAGCAGGAGGCAGAGAACACCTGATGGCAGTTCTCTGCCAGAGCTAGCCATTTCCACCTTCCTTTCAGATGCTTCTACCAATAGCAGCAGACAGGAATGCAAGCCTCACAGGAGAGAAAAGAGAGTTGAAGAACTCGGGAGGAACAGACCGGAAGCCAGGGAGACAGTGCAAAACAAAGGGAGCCCATGCTTCACATGCTAGAGCCTCGGGTCTGATCCCCAGGACCCATGTCCCTGGACAGCACTTAGAATCACCCCTGAGCACTTTGATGGGAGTATTCCTTGAGCAATACCAGGTGTGATTCCCCCCAACTGCCCCTCTGCAAAAAAGAAAAAAAAAATGGTCAAAGAAATAGTACAGTGGATTAGGCACTTGTCTTGCACATGGCCAACCCAAGTTTAATCCCTGGCACCCCATGCTTCCTCTGAGCACTGCCAGAAATGATCCCTGAGCAAAGAGCCAGGAGTTAGTCATGAGCACTGCCTATGTACACCCCCCCACCCCAAAAACAAATAAACAAAACCCAGACAGGACTACAAAGCCAAAGGGTCTGTTTAAGGGAACAGAGAACAGAGTTATGAAGGGGTGAAGGGTGCAGGCCCTAAGATGTAAGCAGGGGTATGTGATTCGTGCATCTCTGACTTGCTAGTACTTTGTGTCTCCATCTTTGTGCCTCAGTGACCAATCTAGAAAGGAGAGAATAACAGCAATGTCTGGCAGCCTGAATGTCCCCCAAGAAGTTCTCTCAAGTGGTTGCTGTGCATGAATGAGCAACAGTGTGCCCCTCCTCAGGGTGGCATGAGAAGCTGATGCCAAGCAGGAGTCTAGAGACCATGCAGCCCTGCAGTGAGCACCCTTGTGCAGTAAACAAACTGCCCAACCTTACAGGGCAGCCTCAATAACACTCGGGTAGCTCTTAAATGATTCTTATTCCAGAGTGTGTGGAAACTCAGGGCAAAGTGCATTGGCTGGGGGGGGGGGGGGTCCACCAAAGCTGTGCTCGGGCAGCCCAGGGCCACTCCTTGCCCAGTTAGGTCAGTTGATGGTGCCAGGTACCAAAATCAGGGTCTCAGTCCCTGAACCCAAGGCATGTGCTCCAGCCCTGGCCCTATCTAACTGCCTATTTATTAATAATTTTATTCATTCCACCTCAAATTAAAAACCCAAGCATGGAAAAACTTTCCAGTTTTGTAAGAAATACCCTTTCAGAATTTGTGGTTCCCGGGCCAGAGCGATAGTACAGCGGGTAGGACATTTGCCTTGCATGAGGCGGACCCGGGTTCAATCTCCAGCAATCCTATATGGTCCCTCAAGCACCGCCAGAGTTAATTCCTGAGTGCAGAGCCAGGAGTAACCCCTGAGCATTGCTGGGTGTGAGCCCCCAGCTTCCCCCCCTCAAAAAAAGCAGAATTTGTGGTTCCCTCTATTTCAACTCTCTGCCTATTCAGTCACACTGTTCAGTGAAATATTTTGCAGGGTGATCTTTCCATCAGCTCTACAGGAAAGCCAATAATGGGTAAGTCAGCTGTTGAGGGGAATGGAACTTACTCAATTTTCTACCTCCAGCACCCGGGCCAATGCCTATCACACAGGAACTGCTCGGTAGACACTTGGCCAGTCCCAGCAGGCAGCAGCCAACCAGAAGCATGAAAGAGCCACAGAAGCAATGCTCTCAAGTTGCCCCAAGTGAGTCATTCCGAGGCCGATACCAGATGGAAGGATGCGGAGAGGCTGGTGGGTTGTTATTCGCATGTTTCCCTGCTTGGTCTTTCAGAGGTTGTCCATGGACAAGATGAGGTCATCTTGGCAAGGAAGAGAGCCTCCAGACGTTTAAAAATATCTTCGTCAGTGTCTGTGAGCCAGTGATGGAGCTCAGCAGGGGAGCACTTGCCTTGCACATGTGAGGCCCTAGGTTCGATCCCTGACACTGCCATAAAAAAAAAAAAAAACAAAGTCACATGTGTACATGGGCTTGCTGTAAAAATATATGGCAAATAGGCGGCTGGAGCGATAGCACAGCAGGTAGGGCGTTTGCCTTGCATGCGGCCGACCCGGGTTTGATCTCCGGCATCCCATATAGTCCCCCCCAAGCACCGCCAGGAGTAATTCCTGAGTGCAAAGCCAGTAGTAACTTCTGAGCATTGCTGGGTGTGACCCAAAAAGAAAAATATATATATACATGGCAAATACCCACTGAAATAAATATTCAAAATGACTCATTGCCTGCCTGATGGACACCAGGTTCATTAGCCTATTAATTCTTTAAATGTATAAAGGAAGGAATTCAACGATTGCCCAGGCTCAGTCTCAACTGCCCCAAGTCCAAGAATAAGGAAACAGATAATTATGCCACGTACAGCTAAATAGCAGAGCCAGACAGAGGGGCCACAGGAAACAAGGGGTGAGCCTGGGAGGGGATCCACATAAACTCAGCTTCATGGAGCCTTGGAGGCTGGCTGAGTTCCTATAAAAAGCAAAGCAGGAAAAACTGAGAAACTGCAGGAGAATGATGAAAAGAAAAGTGAGGATGAATCGGAGGCAAAGGGAATAGGCAGGGAGGCAGGGAGGCAGGACTCAAACCAGGACAGGGAGGGCAGTCATCTGCTGCAAACACTCAAGGAAGGGTGGATATAAAGATTCCTTTGATAGTAGGAGCAGACTCAGGTTCCAGCAGAACAATCTGAGAGGGAAGAAAGAGGCTTGGACAAGCTTCCAGTGGCCTGCTGTGCGTCTCATTTCTAGGGAGCTGGAAGTATTAAAAACCTACTTTCCTGGTGGCCCTTGCTTCCCCAGATTGTCCCTGAATCACTTTTTTTTTTTTTGGCTTTTTGGGTCACACCCGGCGATGCACAGGGGTTGCTCCTGACTCTGCACTCAGGAATTACTTCTGGCGGTGCTCAGGGGACCATATGGGATACCGGGAATCGAACCCATGTTGGCCGTGTGCAAGGCAAATGCCCTACCCGCTGTGCTATCACTCCAGCCCCCTGAATCACTTTTAAATATTAAGATTCCAAGCAATTCAACTTGGCAGGTTGAGTAACTTAAAAAAAAGTCTCTCACAGCCCAAGGCTGTTCAACAGAAAGCCAACACAGCCCAGATATTGTTTGGGCTTTTTCACTTGGGGGTGAGGGGTGGGGCTTTGGGTCACACACGATAGGGCTTGGGGGCGACTCCTGGCTGTGGGCTTGGAAGGCACTGAGGGGGGTGTTCAAGGGATCCAGTGACATCAGGGCTCAAAGCCAGGTCTGCAAAGCCTGTGCTCCAGCTCCCTTGCACTATCTCCCTGGTCCCATTTCCTCATATTTCAAAGAGAATAATAGCATGGTAATGAAAAAATTAAGAGTTGGTGCACGTAAAGCAGGAGAAATTATTTTTTAATTTAATTTTGCTGCCAGTGAGGTTACAACAGCATTAATGCTTCTGCTTCTGACGTAGAGTTACTGTCTCACAACCATCAAAGGGCCAAAAACCTTCTACCAGGGTCCCTTCCAGTGGCCTCAGCCCTCCCGGCTTGGCAACCTCAGTTCTGTTGTCTGAGTCCAAGGGTTTGTTCTCAATAGACACTGACCATTCACTTGCTTTGTGAGCAGTAGAAATTCTGAACCCCGAGGTGGCTCTTCTCGTACCCGACATACACACAAAACTCCCCAGAAGAGAAACAAAAAAGCCAGCAGTCACAGTGTCTCAAAGACAATTTGCTCTCAATCTTGACAAAAATGAGCACAACTGGGCAGGCTTTTCAATGGTATGAAGAGGTCAGTGGATTCTGTGGCCTATCAGAAGTTAGAGGGAAGATAGGACTATGGAGAGAAGCATCTTTCTCTTCTAGCTGTGGCTCCAGGAATCATACTCACTGAGTTACTCCTCTCTGCTGACCTCATGGCAGGCACTCTGACAACAGTACATAAAGCAGAGGTGCCCACATCCCATGAGGAAAGGTAGAAAACCAAAACTGGTTAGGAGAAATAGTATGGGGGTTAAGACACTTGCCTTGTATGGGGCCTGCCCAGATTCAGTGAGCCACTAAGTGGGACCGCGCAGGATCCCTCCATGCACCACCAGGAATAGAGCACAGAACCAGGAATAGCCTCTGAACACCACCATGTGTGGTCCCCAATCTCAAGCCCCTTTTACCATCATCTGCAGGACCATCTCTGAGGCCCAGCTGTGGTGTCAGGGATGCAGGGATGGAACCGGGGTTGGCCACGTGCAGGTCAGCGCTTTAACACTCTCTCTCTCTCTCTCTCTCTCTCTCTCTCTCGTTTCAGGGCTTAAACCCTTGCATGCATGAGACCAAAGTAATCCCTGAAACTGGAAATAAAAAAAAAAACAGAGTTCTGGGGCTTCATAGTGGAGTGCATGCTTTGCATGCAGGAGGTCTGAGTTCAATCCCTGGCACAGCATGGATCGCCAGCAATGGGACCTCAAACCAAAAACAATTAAAGCAAAACGCCTTGCCCAAAGTATCAAAACTACTCAAGACACACATGACCTAGACTCAAATCCTAGAGATGGACCCGAGGGTTTCACATATGCACAGGAGGAACTCTAGCACTTCAAGCCACAAACCCCAGTGCTCTTCAGAAGCACATCCCCCGTCTCCACCACCTCTGCTGCAAAACAGGCGGTGAATGCAGCACTCACTACACAGGCCTCTGGCAGTGCAACACTTCATTTTTATAAAGCTCTCTGCAACTTAAGATTACTTTTGTGTGTGTGTGTGTGTGTGTGTGTGTGTGTGTGGCCACACCGGGTGGTGCTCAGGACTCACTCCTGGCTGGGGGAACACATGTGGTGCTGGGCATCAAATCCAGGTCAGCCCTGTGCAAGGCAAATGTCCTACCTACTGTACTATCTCTCTGGCACCTAGAATTCAATGCTTAACTGCTACATTACTTCTGCCCTGTACTTGTTCTGTGTGTGTCCCCAATTATTTAAGCAACAACCAAACACTTCCGTGGAGGAAACAGGCCTGTGGGGTAAGGGGGGGTGGGGTTTGCACTGCTGCCAGGACTCCTGGATTTGCTCCCTCCTTTCTGCAGTTCTTCAAACCCAGAAGGAATGGAAACTAGAAGAAACAGATCTTGTGCATGTGCTTGAAAAAGCCTCGAAGAAAGAAGAGAGGAGAGAGAGAGAGAGAGAGAGAGAGAGAGAGAGAGAGAGAGAGAGAGAAGAAAAGCGCCTGCCATAGAGGCAGGTGGGGGGGGTGATGGGAGAGAACCTGGGCACACTGGCGCTGGGAAATGTACACTGGTGGAAGGATGGGTGCTGGAATACTGTATGACTGAAATCTAATCATGAACAGCTTTGTAAAGGTCTCTCTCACAGTGATTCAACAAAAAAGTAAAAAAAGAAGAAGAAGAAAAAGCCTCTAAGGGCAGAACAGATGCAGTGCTGTTTCTCTAAATACTGGTCAGTAATGTGAGCATAGCTTGTTTTCCTTATTTTTCCTTGGGGGTGGGGGTGGGTTGGTTTACACCTAGTGGTGTTGGAGAGAGCAAGGAGGGGAGGGCATGGGGGGAATCCCCACTCTGTGCTCAGGGGAACATGTGGTGAAGGAGTAAAACTGGGGTCAGTGCATGCAATGCAAGTACCTTAATACCTAAGCCTACTCTCAGACCCAGAGGGGATAAGAATTAACTAGTTGATAAGAATGAACTAGTTGGAAGAGGGAGAGAACTGGGGGCTAAGGCCCTGGATGCAACTGACCTCAGTCTGATCTCTGGCGCATATGGTCCCCTGAGCAATAAACCAGGAATAAGCCCTGAGCAATGCAGAGTGAAGAACAACCAACCCCCCCTAAATAAATAAAACAAGGGCAGCATGTAATGTATAGGACCCTTGCCTTGCACGCAGACAACCGAGATTTAATTCCCAGCACTCCATATAGTTCCCTGAACACCGTCAGGAGTGATTCCTAAATACAGACTCAGAAATAAATGTTAAGCACCTCTGGGTGTGGACCCCAACCGAAAGTCAAACAAAAATCCCTCTCCCACTGTAGCACTGTCCACCCGTTGTTCATCAATTTGCTCAAGCGGGACCAGTAATGTCTCCCTTGTGAGACTTGTTACTGTTTTTGGCATATCGAATACACTACGGGTAGCTTATCAGGCTCTACCGTGTGGGCAGGATACTCTGGGTAGCTTGCTGGGCAATCCGAGAGGGAAGGAGGACTCGAACCCGAGTCGGCCACGTGCAAGGCAAATGCCCTACCAGCTGTGCTATCGCTCCAGCCAACGAAAGTCAAAGAAAGAACCTTCTCCCACATACACACAAAAATGAGACATCATGGCAAGCAGAGAAATATCATTCTTTTTTGTTTTTTTTTGGTGGCCACACCAGGCTATGCTCAGGGTTTACTTCTGGCTCTGTGCTCAGAGATCACTCCTGGGGGCCCTGGGACCATATGGAATGCTGAGGATCGAATTAGGGTGGGCCACCTGCAAGGCACCCTACCTGCTGTACTATTACTCCGGCCCTGAAATACACCTTTCTGATGCATATAATCTCGGTTGGCTGCATATAATGTGTACAAGCTAGCTTCTAGCTTGTCACACGCCTAAACGCTTCCATTTTATAAAGGAAAAAAAAAAGTACTATGTCATTAATTCGCAAAAGAAATATGCCAGGAAAACACTCATAGGATCTCCTTTCACTGAAAGGGGAACTGAAACAGGAAAACTTAAGTTCTTGCCCAGCATCACGCCGGTAGGGAGTAATCAAGGAAGGATGGAGGGGCGGGGGAGCCAGGTTAGCCCACAAACCCTGAGGGTTCCAGTCTGAACCTCCAGCACTCCCCAGAACCTCCCACGCCAGAGGTTCAGCTGCAGGGACTGGGGAGAAGGGAAGGAAAGTGCCTCCGGCGTGGCTTTTCTCCCTGGTCCCAAGAAGCGGCCGGCAGGTCCCAGGGACCAGATGGGAAATGTCTAGAGGTCGTCGAGGTGCGCGGCTCAACTCACCTCCCGGAGAGACGCTCAGGCCCCGATTGCAGCACCCTGGAGCGGAAGTTCCTCCGTTGGCGCCGCACTCCGAACTCCACTTCCCAGGGGCGCCTATCCGACTTCCGGACTCCACTTCCCAGGGACGCCTCCCGACTTCCGGACTCCACTTCCCAGGGACGCCTGTCTAACTTCCGGACTCCGTTCCCAGGGGCGTCGTTGGACGAGGCGCGCCCAGCACCACGCGGCACCCGTGCTGGCGCCAGTGCCACGAGACGCTGACCCCCGGAATCATCGGAGAGCTGCCGCCCCTAGCGGATGGAGAGCCCTTGATGACACCCCCTGGTTCACCCACGGAGCAGGGCACAAGCCCGAGTTCCCCCGGAATCAGCGCACCCCAGTCGCGTCGGGCCCTCCTGTAGGGCCCCGTCGCCCCCAGTTGGCAGTTTTCCTTTTGAAGGAGCTGCAGGGTATCTGGTATTGGAAGGCTTGGATGTTTGTAGAATTCACCTTAGGTTTTTTTTTTTTTTTAATTTCTTCTCGTTGTTTACTTTTACTGCACTGTAGCACTGTCCTCCCGTTGCTCATCGATTTGCTGGAGGGAGCCCAGTAACATCTCCATTGTTACAATCGGCAGAAATTGAAAATGTGAAAAATAAGTGGAAAATGTGAAGGGATGCTCGTGTGAACTAAATTTAGGGGCCATGAAAGGAATGTTGAGCTGCCCTGGCCAGGCTGTTAATTACCGTGGCCTGAACCCACCTTTGACCAACTAACCATTTTATTTATTTATTTTTTTTTTTTTTTAGATTTTTTTTTCCCCCTTTATTTTATTTTATTTTTTTTAAAGTTGTAGATTTACAATTTTTTGTGCTTTGGTTTCAATTATACAATGATCAGATACCCATCCCTCCACCAGTGCCCATTTTCCACCACCATGGATAATATCCCTCCCACCCCCATCCCCCCATCCCCCCCGTCTCTGTGGCAGGGCAATCCCCTGTGTTCGCTCTCTCCTTTTGGGTGTTGTGGTCTGCAAAAGAGGCATTGAGTGGCAAACATGTTCAGTCCATAGTCTACTTTCGACATGCATCTCCCCTCCTGGGAGGATCCTCCAAACATCCTTTATTTGGTGCTCCCTTCTCTATCTGAATAGCCCTTTCCTCTAGGATACCCGGCTGGCCTCTAAGTTATGGAGTAATCCTCCTGGTGCTGATCTCAGCTATTCTTGGGTATTAATCTCATACTTTGTTACTTTATATCCCCCAGATGAATGCAATCTTTCTATGTCTATCCCTCTCTTTCTGACTCATTTCGCTTAGCATGACAATAGCCAGAAACTGGAAGAAACCTGAATGCCCAAGAACAGATGACTGGTTAAAGAAACTTTGGTACATCTACACAATGGAGTACTATGTAGCTCTTAGAAAAGATGAAGTCATGAAATTTACATACAAGTGGTACAATATGGAAAGTATCATGCTAACCATTTTAAAAGGAGGTGAGGGGTGCTGAAACGTAGTACAGTGGGTAAGGTGCTTGCCTTGCATGCAGCCGACCAAGGTTCAATCACCGGCATCCCATATGGTCCCCCAAGCACTGCCAGGAGTGATTCCTAAGTACAGAGCTAGGAGTAAGTACTGAGCATCACCGGGTGTGGCCCCAAAACCAAAATAAATCAAAATACGGTCCCTCTTGAGTCCTACCTGAGCACCTCCCGGTGTGGCTCAGAAAATAAATTACTTAAGAATGTAATACAAATCTAATTTGCATACACCTAATAAACAGGCTCAAGTATTTAAGAATAATAAGAATTACAAAGAAGAATAAAAGCATTTTGAAAGTGCAAATTTTAACATACTTAGGAACAAAGCAGAACAGAAACATTTTCTGGGACTATGGATCAAACTCTGACTCAAACATATAAAGCACACACTTCACCTCTGGACTCAATGTTAAAAATACAGAAATGTAGAACTTATGGTCAGAACAGAATTCTGCACCCAACAACTGCTGAGCTGCGGTGGGGGGGGGGGGGGGGTCCATGTGGTGTGGGAATGGAATGGGAGACTCCCATAGTCCAAGCATGCACTCCAGCTTTTTAAGCCATCTCTCCACCAGAGTATACATTTTTAAAAAAATGTGCCACAGAGACAGTACAGGAGTTAAGGCGCTGCCACACATGCTGAAACCAGTTCTGAGCCCTGGTACCAGGGGGCCAGAGTGATAGTACAGTGATTGGGTGTTTGCCTTGTAAGCAGCTAAAATGAGTTCAATCCCCAACACCTGTGTTGGTGCCCAACCATATCATGAAGATGAGTCCTTGGATGCTGCCCTGCAAGCAGGAAGCAGAACCAGAAGCCCACACTGCACTAAGTGGGTGAGCAAAAGCTTGAGAGTCTGATTGATATGGAAAAGGCAAAACTGACCCTCTGTAGCCAGCAAATTCCTGCAGCACAAAATAGCAGCTTCCCCTTCTCACATATTTCAGACCTAGCTAAACTTTATATGTAAACATCCTTTCCTGTTTATCAAAGACCCCAGGTGTGAGGAGGTCATGACCTGTGTAATTATATTTCCAGGTGTGAGGAGGTCTGACCTATGTAATTGACCAAGTTTTTCTTCTTGTAACTGATTATGGTTTTCTTCCTTTAATTGATCATGTCTTCCTTACCTCCCATTCTTTGTTCTTCCTACACTGTTGAATTTCATTGGATGTGATTATAATAAGCCAGCAAATAAAAAGAGGCTGAAAAGACTGCTTTTTGTCACAAGATCTGAGTTTTGTGATCTTCTGTGCACCATAATTTCTTTCCTGTTCTTGTCTCAGTGCTTCAGACCGCCTAATCGATGAACGTTAGTGCAACACCCTGAGCAGGTGTTTGCCTGAGTAGGTGTTTGCCTTGTAAGCCGCTGAAATGAGTTCAATCCCCAACACCCTATATGGTCCTACAGGTCCTGCCAAGAGTCAGGAGTAAACCCTGAACACTACCTATTGTGCTTGCCCCTCCCCCACCAAAAAATATCCAAACAAAAAATCCCTGGCACCAATATGGTCCCCAAGTTCACCAGAGGTTACTCCTGGAGTAATCTCTGGTGTACTGGGGGACCATATTCCAAGCCCTGGAGGCCAGAGAGATAGTACAGCAGGTAGGATACTTGCTTTGCATACAGACGACCGGGTTCAATCCCGGCAGACCATAAAGGTCCTCTGAGACTCTCCAGGAATGATCCTTGAATACAGAGCCAGGAGTAAGTCCTGAGCATCGCTGGGTGTGACTAAACACATACACACATACATAATAAATAATAAAAGGGATTTTTATTAGGTTGGCTTTTTGGGAATGCCATACTCAGCAATGCTCAGGGCTTCCTCATGGCTAGGTTTGGGGGACCCTATGTGGTGCTGGAGATTTGAAAAAGTTAGACTATCTGCAAAGCAAGAACCCTACCCACTGTACTATCTCTGCAGATCCTTTTTTTTAACGTGTCTCATGTTCTCAGTTCATAGATTTTCATGCTAAACAAGATACCCTTCCTTCCTTTCCCCTTCCTTTTTCCCTTTCTTTCCCTCCCCCTTCCTTTCTTCCTTCACTATGGCCTATTCCTCCTCTTCAGTTTTTGCAAGGGTTTGAGAACCGAGTTTTGTGCAAGGAAGTTTTTATTCTAGATTCCATCTCTTGATTCAGTATTTGTCTATAGACTTTCTACAGTAATGTTAGATTTGTTTCTAGGAATTGATCCATTACTTCAGATTCATTATTTTACATAAAATTTGTTCATCAAAACAGTATGGACGATTCTCAAAAAATTAGAAATTGAGCTTCCATTTGACCCAGCAATACCACTCCTGGGAATATATCCCAGAGAGGCAAAAAAAGTATAGTCGAAGTGACATCTGCACTTGTTTGTTCATTGCAGCACTTTTTACAATAGCCAGAATCTGGAAAAAACCTGAGTGCCCAAGAACAGATGACTGGTTAAAGAAACTTTGGTACATTTACACAATGGAGTACTATGTAGCTGTTAGAAAATAGAAGTCATGAAATTTACATACAAGTGGTACTACATGGAAAGTATCATGTTAAGCGAAATGACTCAGAAAGAAAGGGATAGACATAGAAAGATTGCATTCATCTGGGGAACATAAAGTAACAAAACAGGAGACTAACACCCAAGAATGGCCGAGATTAGTACCAGGAATTTTACTCCATGGATTGGAGGCCAGCCACACATGCTAGGGGAAAAGGGAGCTCAGACAGAGAAGGGAGCACCAAATAAAGGGTGTTGGGAGGATCCTTCCAGGATGGGAGAAGCATGCTGAAAGTAGACTATAGACCAAACATGATTGTCACTCATTGCCTCTTTTGCAAACCACAACACCCAATAGGAGAGAGAGAACAAAAGGGAATGAATGCCCTGCCACAGAGGCAGGGGGGATGGGGGGGTGGGAGGGATGCCGGGATCCGTGGTGGTGGGAAATGGGCACTGGTGGAGGGATGGATATCTGATCATTGTATAATTGAAACCCAAGCACAAAAATTTGTAAGTCTACAACTGTACCTCATGGTGTCTCACTAATAAAAATTTTTTAAAATTTTTCTTCTCATCAGTTACACAGTGATCCCAGGTAGTTAGTGGTATCAGTTGTAATGTCATATCTTTCACTTTCTTTTTTTTATTGATTTATTTTGGCTTTTGGACCACACCTGGCAGTGCTCAAGTTACTTCTGGCTCTGTGTTCAGAGATTATTCCTGGTGGGGCTTTGGGGACTACATGAGGTGCTGGGGATTGAATCTAGGTTGCATGCAAGACAAATACCCTCCCTGCAGTACTCTCTCTCCAACCCCTCCTTGCTCCTTTCTTATCTTGCTCCCTTGCACTGAAAACTTGATTTTCTGTGGTGTTATGCTCTGATTTCCTTCTTTTATGTCTTGTGAATATACTATAGGTTTTGTCTTGTGGTTGCCACAAAGCTTATTTATAGATATTTATTTATAATTGCTTAACTGCTACCAGTGTTTCCACTACAGAATCAAGAAAAAAATTCCCTCCAGCTTTCTGCCTGATTGTGGCAGACAAGATTAAATGATTGAATGGAAGAATACAGAATGTGGGAAGACCTTCTATAGAGGCTCTCAATGACTTACACAAAATCAAAGAATTCACACTGGTAAGGGGCCACATGAATGCAAAGATGTATTCTTCCACCTAATCATTTAATCTTGCATATGTATAGGGCAGGAGTGATAGTTCATTCAGCTGACCCAGATTCAATTCTATCCCTGGCACCATCCCTGGCACCACATATGATCCCCCGGACCCCACCAAGGGTGATCTCTGAGTGCAAACCCATGATTAGGCCTAAGCACAATTCATACAATAATTGATTGTATGAATACAAAGATGGTAAGAAGACTTTAAAAGCTGCATACCTTATTCAACATCTGATAATTCATATCAGTTTGAAGCCATA